AGTTGGCACAGGGACCTGGACCCCCCTTCACTCGCATTTGCAAAAAGGTGTGCGGAAAAAAAAGCTGCGTGGGCAGGGAGGGGTTCCTGTAACAACATCGGATTTGCACTCCCTTTTTCCATGTCACGCACACGCCCTTGCCAAACATGCGTTCCACAATATTCCGCAGGTTGCCTTATCCGACTCCCGACGGTATGCAGCAACGGACGGGTCCGCTTGGGCGGTTTGCTGCATGAGGACTTGTGTCATGCATGGCCGATCGTCGCGTCTGCAGTCCGGCCGAGATCGGCCGAGTACACGGCCCCGGCAGGCTACCGGGGACGCGAGCAGACGAGTTGCGGGTGAGGTTGCGGCTCGCGAGCTTCTGCCTGAAGTGGGTTTGCCAGCCTGTCCGTGCTGTCCACATGGCGGGTTTCCTGGAAAGATGTTTGGCTGTGTCCCACTACTTCCACCATTGGCAGTACGGTTGGGAGGAGTCGCCAACATTCGGTATGGAGATGTTGCGCACTAGCAGACGCAGAGTGCTGCGCACGCACGGGGCCGGACTCCTTGCAGACGTGGCTTTCATGGAGGTGCACCGCCGACACCCCACGTGCAGTCGACGCGAGCCACTGCCCTGCAGAGCGTTGCGTATATGTTGCACAGCCTAAGAAACACGCACGCCGACAAAAATTGGAAGTTTCCTTTGTTTCGACCGAACCGTTTCGCATAGCTGCACCAAACCTATGGGTTTAGCTTGCCCGTCTCCTCTTACTTTGTTGTTCACGTGCATGATACTGCAATTTTCTAGTGTTGTGCTCAGGCCCAGCCGACTATGCGGGCAAAGTGGAGGCGTGGGTGGCGCAAGCGGGTCGGCATTGAACTGATGCGGATGCAGAACCCGAACGAACTCATCAGACTCCCACGTTTGCTTGCCGCTTTGATGCCAGGCCTTCGCGAGGCACTGTGATTGCGTGAAGTCGTCGGATGCCGACATCGAGCCGGACCCTTGAAACTTGAAATGCTTATGCGATGTCTCGTTCAGACCATTAGTCGCACTCATGTGGTATATCGTTTGCGTGTTTAGCCTGCTGGTGTGCCCATGGAGCGGACCATAGTCAGGAACCCGCCTTGACTTTAGGTTTCAGAGTTTTGCGGTGGTGCTCTTGCGTTTTAGTGTTGTAGGCTTCACTCTTAAGTTTCATGGTTCCCGCGAGTTGCGGCTTCGCGTGCGTTTTGAAATGGGTTCACTACGACTGCAGCGACATCTGCTGAGATGGCTAAGGGCTTAGTCGGAATGTCCCTGTTCGGAGCAACGTCCGATTTTGAAGTATGTATTGGCTTAATCTTTTTGTATCGGAATTTTGGAACCAAATTCTTCTCCGGTTTGGGTTTAGACCGTCTAGCTTTGCATTGGGTTTGGGTGTTGACGTAGTGCGCATACAGGCATTTCAACATGGGGTCGCTGGCATTGCCCGACGTCACATTGCGAAAGCTATTGCAGCGACTAACATAAACGACACAGGAGCCACGAAGCCCATGCCATGACGACAAAGGTTTCTATATGGTGCAGGTGTGGATCTGGAGGCTAGAAACAACATCGATTCGCGATTTTCAGTCAACTTTGCCTTCTCATAAACCACTTTCCGAAGTGGCAGGCTATCGCCAAGAAGCCATTCAGCAGCAATCAGATAGGCTTCGTGATCAAGTTCGCACGTGAGACCTAATGAATGCCAAGGTGGTTGCAGCAGGGCCCCAAAATAGTTGCCCGGCGTGGTTTAGGCTGATCCTTTCCTTGCTGCCGACTCTGCCAGTGTGCCTGGCTTGTGTTTGATGTTCTTTCGTACCATGCAAGAATATTCATTTCTATGCTTCGTAAGCATCGCTGCAGCTTGTGTTGCAACCTGCCGCAATTTTCAACTGCTTACTGGAAGAAAGCGCTTGGCCACCCGAAGGTCGTGATCACACGCGGCCCAGATGGAGCGCATTTCTCGGAACTCTTTGTCCGTTTCGCATGCACAAGAGCAGGTGCACTAGGCCCCATGGAAGCAGTGCCAGGCCACTGCGTGGTTTCGTCAAGGGAAGAACGGGCCGGGTGCTCAAAGCCGCGATGCTGTCCTTGTCAGCCAACCTTTACATTCCTGCCATGATTGGCTCACTTTGATTTTGCTCTTTGAAGAAGTGTTCTTCAGGCCAGTCACGTCCCTGTCGGCTTTGCCCCCGTGCAAGCCACCGATGACCATCGACGCCAAGGTTGCTGGTGGTTAAAGCTTGGCATAGTTGCAGGTGCGATTGCATGGAATGTAGTGATGGGGAGCAGAAAAAAGACCCAACACCATTTCGGACAGGTGACAAACACAGAGTTAGAACCTCGTTCCAGGAGACTTCATTGCACAAAATGTTCGGTCGACTGGGCCTGCAGCAGTCATGACGCACTGTTGACCAGACACTCCTGGCATGCTTGCAGGGCCAACAGGCGCCTGTGGCGGACACCGTCGGACGACGCCTTATACTAGCCCGTCTTGACAGCACAAGTATTGCAGCCTTCATCCAGAATATACATCTTGCCACGGTATGAAGCCTAGCTAGCCGCAGCTAGCCGTACCCTAAGGTGCTGGAGACACATGCATGGGTGCGTTGCTTTGTGGTTTCCTGGGTAAGGCAGGAAGAGCCCAAGCACAGGCTGTGTGTGTACTTTGCCTGCCGTGCCTTTGTTGGCTGAACGCCCGCCCCTGTCTTAGCAGAACCGCGCCAGACCCTCGCGCACAAGTCTTCAAGACACTGAACCATCGGCTAGTTCTCGCTGCTTGGGCAGCTGGTTCAGGCTCAGATCCTGTACAGCAGCCGAACGAACATGAACGAAGAAAGCAGTATGGCATGCAGCATATCCGATTTCACTCCCGGAATTCTCCCATGCCACATGAAGCCAATACTGGGTGCTGGATTGCGCCCCATACTCAGGAAAAGAAGCGAGTTTTATCCGAGTGAGTTTCAGCCTTCATGTCTGCCCAGATTTCTTGATCATAAGGTACCCAAGACATTTGGCAAACACCCTTTCTACCCTTGTAGTTTGTGAGACTACTTCACGCGTTGTCCCCCCAATGTCTTCGCAGCGACATGGTGTGGAGGCGCAGATCTTTTGCGTGTTTTGCGGGATCCCACATGCGTTTCAGTTGGTCGTAGCGTACGTCGGCTTTGGCACGGCCAGGTCTGCTCTGAGAAGAGCACTGCTGGACAACGTGGCGGTCGGAGACGATCCCATTTCCCGCTTGAGCCCGTTTGCTTTGGCAAGGCTAGCGGCTTGTCACACTGAGAGGTTCTATACTTGAAGGGCCGGGGCGGGGTGGTTAGTATTCGAATAGGGTAGTTGATAGACTTGTCTAAATAGGCCATGTTGAGATATGAGACTCGTAAGTCAAGATATAAGCTATATATATATATATACACGTATATATATATATATATATATATATATATATTTGTTTATTTATTTAATATGCATATATACATGCAATGTTGATGGGTGTGACTTGGTAAGTGTTGAGGACAAGATAGTAAGTTCAAATGGTTACAGGGGTTAGGTATGTGATGGCTGGGACTTGCAGTTGACTTACAGGATGTGATGTAAGCAAGTTGTCGTATTTAGATAAATACTTACACAATGAGATAGTTTCAAGTGGGTCCAAGACATGCAAACATTCCTCTCGATACTTTCCCGGGGTGCCTTCCCAGAACCCAAAAGTAGGTTTAGGATGCTTGGCCTCTGGAGGGCCGAGGCCTTGTCCCGGAATGGCTTTAAGCAGCCACAACAAGGAAACAAACATCAGTGGACGCGAATGTCAGAAATTGTCAAAATTTCGGGAAAGATGGGGTGGGGTGGTGAGGTGCGGAGCAGAGGACCGTGGTAGAAACTTATGATCTTCGAGGTGAGGCCAAATGCCTCTGTTTCACCCGATGGTCTCCAAGCACACTTTAGCGAGCAGCAGTGCTTTAGTGTATTGTTCCATTCTGTCTTCCTCGCATCGCATCCCAGGCATTTCGCACCTTGGCTTAAAGAGTGCTTCGAAGATTCGTGTGGCGTATGTGGCGTTTGCCAATGTTTCGCAAGGTGCTGATTACACAGTGTGCCTCTGCAAAGGTGCAGCCAGAGAAAATCGCAAAAGCGTGAGCTTTTGGCGGGCACTTTCTGCCCGAGCAATGGTAGTGGCGCCGACAATGCAGCCCGGAGAGCTGGGCCCAGCACTGGCTCTGATGCTTTACGCCTTCCTTTACACTGCACTGTGACACCTACTGCTGCCATATCCTCCTTCACGTTCAGGATATGTCTATGGTCCTTGCTGCATTTGCCCGGCTGCGGTTGCGAGACCGCGAAATGATGCTTCGAATCGCTGAATCTACTCCGGCCATTCTGGGACAGTTCGCGGCCACTGATATCACGAACTTCGATGAGAATTAATTAGTTTCTATTTGATGGAAACTCTTGTTTAATAACGCTCCTCCAACTGAATTTGGCGGGTTTCGGGCTTCCCACCCAACACTCCTTCTAGGGTTTAGGGTGTTAGGGTTTCGGGTTGAGGTTAAGGCTTTAAGGCTTCGTTTTAGACTTTTTAGACCTTAAGTTCCTGGGCTTACGTGCTTTGCGCTTTAGGGCTTTGGGGGCTTAGGGCCGAAGCCCTCACCCTAAACCCTCAACAGTCAAACAAAAACAATAGCAGAACACGATTGTTCTGCGGCGGCCGGATTATTGATCAGGGCGGTGGCCTTGCCTGGGCTAGGCCTTTGCAGGCTTGAAAAACTGAGTGTTTTACATAGGCCTTTGATGTAAACTTTCTTGCAGGGCCACCTCTGGAATTTCTTCACTCCAGCCCTGTTTAAATTTAGAGTTTAGGCTTGCTTAACCCCTGGACCCCAACCTGCCCCCCAACCCGAAACCTCTAACCCTGAACCCTGAACCTCTTCTAAGTCTGCAGGCAAGTTGGTTTTTGCAGATGCTTGGGGGTTGTCAGGAACCGGGGGGGGAGAGGGGGGGTTGGCAGGGTTTTTGCTTCCCGAGGGCGGGGCTCTGGTGGAAGAGGCCAGCGCCTTTAAAACATGGTTTCAGCCAGGTCCGAGGCCTGCGCAGGATGCCTTTTAATCACGGGTGGTAGATTAATCAAGAGTTGACATTACTGCTGTTTTGTTTCTGTCAGTTCTGCCGCGGCAGTGGTACGACTGTGGGACCTGACGATCCAACAAGCAGACCTGCGCTGACAACGAAAAGATGCCGTAAGGTATTAGGTTAGTAGCCGGTAGGGCTCGGATGTACTTTGAAACTTTATTCCTTTCAGCTGCCCGAGGCACTTCCTGGCTGCTTTTGCCCGGCTGGATGTCGAGCATAGGCTCGTCTTCAACCTCTTTGCCAGAGAGATTGCCAGGCCAGCCGGTCTCCTCACTAGTCTCGTGTTGCGATTTCGAAATGAAGCGTGAGTTAAGCCAGGCGGCGCTTTCCGGTTCTGAACTTTGAGGGGTGTCCTTGCAGTCACCAAGCAAGTTTAATGTGGATGAATCTAAAGCCGTTCAATGTGACCGGAGGAAGCTTCACGACTTTGATGCTGCTCAACTTGGCGAGCTAGCGTCATATCAGCAACGAGCCACAGCGCCCCTACTTGTCCTCTGTGTCGGGCATCATTAGGATGGCTGCGCAGTTGCCACTGCGACCGCCCAGCCTGCCGTTTCCTGATGCTCTATGCCAAGGTCTATGCATATGCGCGCCTCAATTTTCACCATGACTTGCTTCTGGATGTACTCAAAAAGAGAATCACAGAAGCCAATTCCTCAGCTCAACTCCTTGCAAGCGTAAGTCAGGATTTCGCTGTGTGCGGGATCGATCCAGTGCTTAAGCTGCAGATCTTCAGGTGATCAAAGCCATGAAACCGTGGCATCTGGCCATGGTAGTGAACGGATTCGCAAGGCTGGGAGCGAGACGCTCGACTGCCATGTCTTGCTTGAGGAGCGATTCTTAGCAGCAGTCAACTCTAAAAAATATGGCCGAGGCGACGAAAGATTTTTCACTGTCCTGGCTGCGGAGATTGCAAAGAAGATCTCTCAGTTTGAGAGCAAGCCGTGTCCCAGCTTGTACCATGGTCTCACGGGCGCTAGTTCGCTAGTGGTCAGGTGTCGCTTGTCGTACGGAACTCTCTTCCTGCTGCGAGGCTTGCGCTCGTGGCGAATGCCTATGCGAAACTTGGCGTCCGAAATCGTCCCCCAGCTCAACCTAAACCCCAAAATATCCCTAAACCGCGAATTGTTGTTCCAGGTTTTCTTCTGGAGCTCCTGGGGGACGAGGCTTTTCGCCGGCGAGGCGAACTGGAACCCCAAGCCGTTGCTCTCGTCCTCAATGCGCATGCGCGCCTCCAGATGTCGAACCCTGTGCTTTTCGCTACTCGGCTGCAGCAAGAACACTATCAGCCCACTTCTGCGACATGCAAAGTTTACACAAAGGCATAGTATGCGGTTTGGCGAGCTTGTGCAAACTGTCTTCGTGTTGCGATATCATTCTTTTCACCAGACTTTAAACATCAGTCGTCGCCGGCAGCAGGGACAGTAAGTAGTCCGTGCTGACAAGATTGCTTCCTCCGGAATTGTGCGGCCGGGCAACTGCAAAGCAGGAGAGTCTGCAGTTGGCACCTGCAGCATGGGACATAGAACATGCGCACAGCGACAGCGACAGCAACCCGTCCTAGCAGTCCTAGTGTTTCAGAACTCCACACGACCTCGGAGCAGGAGTGCTCGCGAAAGGCAGAACACCTTGCAAAACAAAGAAACAATCAAGCTCAATGTCACTATGACCAGGCCGAGGCAATGCAATGGCCAGCAGACTAACAAGCTTGAACAGTTCGTGAACGCAGGCAGATCGTAAGCAAAGTGTCAGCGGCCAGTGGTGAGCAAGCAGTTGACCGTAGTTGATGGAAGTTCCCTTAGTCGCGTGGTTTGTGTCTCACAGATGCATGCCTTGCCAATGGCAGATGCGGATAGATGCGGTGTAGGGTATTGGTCAGACAATCGCTGCGCAGACCGAGAAGGGAGGCTTGTGAATCGCAGCCTGAAGGGAACAGTGTGCATCCTTCCCTCTGTCCGTCCCTCCGAACCCAACAACGTTTATTAGAATTAAATAACATTCCACCCGGCGTAGCTGGAACCCAACAGATGATGGAATCATGCGTTTTATGACCAGAAAACATGTACGGTACTAGTACCAAATTTGCAGCTCACCAACACGGATGTGCCACTGGTAAACCAGAGGCAAAGTGTGATTCTCTTAACTAGTAGCCGGAGTCCTTTCATTTCAGGACTACTTTGCACAAGAAGTGCCTCGTCGCATACGAGCCCACAACATACAGTCGCTCTGTATTGTGGCCAGCGCGTATGCACGAGTGCGACGTGGAGACGAGTCACTCTTTGAAACTCGGCTCCTGTTGAATAGATGATCTTGTCGCATGGAGTCTGCAGATGTCGCAGCAAGAGTTTGTGACCGCAAGCTGCTTCAATGCATGATTAGTGCGGTGCAGCCCCTTTGGTTACACACCCATTGACTTTGATCATTCGTTGCCACGGCCAAGGCGAAAATTGGAGATCATGCATGTGCGAATGCCTCACAGCTTCTGGTCCAAATTGCCATGCCGGGAGTAAAGCTGTCGGGTTGCATGAACGGTGGTGAAGTTCCTGCCTTGTCTGTGAGTTTTTAAAGGCAGATGGCATATTGTCCGTGGGTAAGTAGGATCGAAAGTGCAAATCTCTCCACACCTGCGAGCTGCTTCCCAAGAAGCAGTGGCCTTCTCGCATGCAGGGCAGGGTAAGACCTACATGGATGTCATCCCAACTTATTTCTTGAAAGTGAACTCCGGCAAATTAGTCTGTGGAGCATGATTGAAAATCCTGAGTTTTTCTCTGGGGACTTCCAGGATGGTTGGGAGATGGGGTCAAAAAATCCCCCTCTTAAGTGTCCAGTCGTTTTGAGTCTAGTCCTTCCCTGTTCTTCTTGCGGCCGGCTGTTTAGGGTGCCCGGTGATCCTGTTGTTGGGTTTAGCGTTCTTATTTAGAGGACCCCTGCCTGGGTCCTTCATTTCGGAGGCGGTGCAGTTCTGACAAAATGTAGAACATTGTAGAACGGTTCAGTTAGGCATGTGGGGCTAAGTGAGGCTGTGCAAGCTCCGACTGAGCATGTAAGGTTGTATCCTCGGGCGCTTGCCACGCTCCTCTATTCGTTTTCTGAAGTCGACATTCGTCATGGCCGCCCCTCCACGCTTGCACTCACCCTGTGGATGCGCAGACTGTGTGCCACCGGACAGTATACAGGCTAGAAGCATCTGCGGGCCGCACCGTGGACTCAGGCATGCTTTTCTTCAATGCCCCAGAGCATGTCGAACTGTATTGCCAGAGTTATACGACAGATGAGCTCTGCATGGCCCCTGCCCGAGCTGAAAGTTGCAGCGAGCCATTCTGATCATTCAGAAAATGCCGCAAAATTAAAATCATTCTCGTCCAGGTCGGCCGTGCGTACGGACGTTTCCAGATGGCTCACACGCGCCTCTTCGAAAGTATTAGCTCTGCTCTTCCCGGCCGTGTGCTCGCAATTCCAGAGGCCACCTTGACATGTCGAAGCCACATCTCATACTCGATTCGATCCGGCTCGCAGCATTGCCATGTTCAGAGGACGGAATGCGTGTCCGAATTGATGGACATGCCGAGACCGAGGAGCTGACAAAATTCCATGTTTCGAGCTCTTGGCTCTTGATGGCTGTCTCCCTCCTGACTCTTGATCTCCTCCCATCCTCGCTGCGACCTGTCTCCCGTCGTGTGGACGGATTGACAGCGTGTTTGCCCACTCTGCAGCACTCATACCGATGATTGTCTGGAGCGGAGAAATTCCAGGACATAGACGAGCAGGGGCAGATGTCTGTGCCTCGCATCAGTTCCTTGGTTGGGCTTCTGGAGGCCAGAGCCAACTGACCAGTTACACTGAGGGATGCAGTTCAAGCCCAGAGGCCTATGCTCGACTCACCATCTTCCATGCCGAATGCATCAAGCTGCTGGCCGATGCTGTCGTGGCTCGCGAGAAGGACCTGGCACCGGCTTTGGTTGTCCAGGCCATGTGCCAAGGGCAATGCTTTTCCGGGCTTGCAGCAAGAAGACACAGAGCGAAACCCACATGCAGACCATGTCCGTAGGAAGTCGCACTGTTTGTTCAGGCAGCTCGTGCTTGCGCTGCTCTGGCATATGCACATCCCGGCATCATAAGGCAGCTGCAGCCATTGCCTTTCTCTATCTATAAATCTATGCGTCGACATGACACGGTCGTTGTGGCTGATGACAGGCTGGCCACGGCCTGCATGGCGGAGTTCGGAGAGCAGCTTTCCGAGGAGGTGCAGCACCGACATCCACTGCAGTCATTTTTGCCCGTCTGAAGCCCTGAAGCCACGGCTCAAAGAGACAGCTCCCTCGCGTGATCCTACGTATGTATGTATTGGCTCGATGTCGTTGTTAGGACTTCGATCTTCTCGGGCGAGCCCTGGAAGATCTTGGCGTACTGGGCCAGGACAGTCGACTCATGCTGGCCCCTTCCTCGGCTCATGGCATCTCCGTCAAACCTCCGTTGCAGTACAGCAGCTCAGGAAGGTGCCCAGCTGGATCTAGACCATGGCATGCTGGAACAAAAAGGATGTCTCTTGCTGCCATGAAACCGTGGCAGTCGTCTCAGTACCGCCCTGGTCTATGCTTTGGTGAGGTAGTACGACCAGCAGCTCGAACAGCTTCCACGCGCTTAGACACAGTCATGCGTGAAGAAAAGCAGGATGGTGGCAAATCGTTGGCGGCGCAGCTCGCGCAAGCCTGAGTCTGCGTGGGCCGACGGCCGTGATTCAGCCGCGTGACAACCCTTAAGACGTGCTTTTGCCCTCCTGCGCCTACTTGTGCGTTGGCTCGAAGTGACGATATCTTGTGTTAACTGTATTCGGAACTGTATTCGTGTGGTCTTCTGCATCGAGCCAGTGTTTCTGCGTCAAGTCAGTATGATCGCCTGACAACCAGGAATTAAGCTGAAAATTCCTAGTCCTCATCAATAGAGTTACGTCTTTGTCCTGGTGTTGTGAGCCGATGGGGGCACATTGTGGCCGCTTTATCCAGGCATGCAAGCATCTCCGCACCATACAGTTCCGGGACGGGACCCGGTTTGGCGGACGGACGAGCGAGTTGTTCCTTGTTGCCGGTGTTCCTGTTTCGTTGTTTGGGGCTATGAAGCGCTGCCAGGTAGCTATGCTAGCGAGGATGTCCGAACCGAAGACTCAGGTGGGGCAAAAAGGACAAAGTGGTGCTGACAGTGTTTGCCGGCACATGGAATATGGGCAATGCGCCGCCTCCGGATGATTTGCAGGCACCTCGAAGGTTAGGTGGAAAAGACAATTCTAAGATCTGTGCAGCCGCAGAACAAAATGTCATCTCATGGAGAGGTGTTGATGTCATGTTAGTTGAGGATTGGCTAAAGCCTGGCTTCGACATTTACTTGATCGGTGTGCAGGAGTGCAACTATCACCCTCGACCATGGATAGACAGCTGTGCAAAGGATTGGCGTGCAACCGTGGATGAGAACCTTCCCGGCCTGGTACAAGTTTGCCAGCATGAGATGGGCTACTGCCAGATCCTGTGTTACGCAAAGGAAAACATTAGCAGGTCCATTCACAATGTGGTGGCATGTCATGAGGAAACAGGCCTTGGCGGTTTCCTTGCCAACAAGGGTGGGCTTGCAATGTCTTTCTGGATCGGAGATACGAGTGTCTGCTTCGTATGCTCGCATCTTGCAGCACATCAAACCAATATTGACCGCCGCAACAGCGACACCGCCCACATAATCGAGGGCATCTGTCTGACAAAGGATCAGCTCAGGCCGTTGACGCATCAGTTCTTCGTGTGCACTTATACGGTTCTTGAGTCGTCAGTGGAATTGCTCTCCTTGGCCAGAAACTGGTACTCAGGTTTACTCATGTCTTCTGGGTCGGTGGCTTGTCTTGAATAGCCGCACTGTGGAATAATGCCAAACTTAGCCAGATGGTGCGATGGTAGTGATGGCGAGAGCATGTGCGTTGTTGCCACTTTGAATCTTACGGGCGGTCCGGCCTTGGAAGAATCCAAGAATGGGCACAAGCCAAGGCGATCTGAACTACCGCATTGACTTGCATAGAGAGGCCAGTCCCTGTGCAACCAGACACGGCCTCGGCTGATTCTGGGTCATCTGTCAGCCCGTGTAGTAGCCTTACAGCTCCTGCCATGCATGAACATACTTCCCGTCATTCCCTTCCCTTGCTGCTTTCATCCGCTCCTTACTACCACGATGGGTAGAGAAGGGCTTCTGCAAGTTACCTCAGAGCACAACCGGTACTGCCGGGTACTGCTCACGAGGCATGCGAGGAGTTGATCTGTCAGCATGCCTGGGAGAAGCTGCGAGAACACGACCAGCTCCTGAAGGCGTCGGGCTACTGAACGCGTTATTTTAAGGCTTGAAGGGTTGCTTTCTAGTCGGCTTTTTGATGAAGTTGTCGAGAATGCGAGTCTATGCCCCCTTGCCATCTCCTACATGCCATGGACATGACTTAAGTGGCACTCGTGCCGCCTGAATCCAGGAGCAACCATCGAGAGGGTTCAGGGTGTCCTGGGCAGGTGCAACAAGAGGAAAAAGCTTTCTGGACCTTCAAAGAAGGCCGCGGCCCAGGGCAGTGTTGTACGTGATGCATTGGGAGAGATTGGAGCCTCACAGTTGACGTTGGTGCCGGCAGGCCCTCTCAACTTTCCGCCGACATATCAGCATATCCCAGGCGCCGGGGATCGGCTATTTTAGCAATCTGTGCTGCACAGAATTGGCCCTAAAGGAATGCCGCCGGATCCTGAGACCAGTCTGCGAGCCTACGACCCCAAGAAGGGGAGGGTGCCTTCCTGGACGGATCGCGTGCTGTGGCAGTCGTTTCCTGACGTCGACGCTTGATTTGAACAAAGTTACCAAACTGAAGCATCCTGGCCAAAACGAAAGTACAGACTTGTTCTGACCTGAGACTCCAGGATGTCACGCTGCAACCTGGCTCCTACACGAGCTCTCCTACACTGTGCACCAGTGACCACTCTCCGGTGAGTGCGGTTTTTCAGTTGCCGCTGACGAAGCCATACCGCGTCGATGAGAAAGGTGGCTGTTTGTTTATTCAGATCCGAAATCTGCGGGCGACAGGGCTTCCTCCTGGTGATCATCACGTTTCCTTCTGGGGCCAGTACTGCGAAGGAACCAAGCACTCCAGGAATTCGACGAGCAAGGATGGCTGTGCGCAGTTTAGCAAGATCACCCTTAAGACCAAGCCGGGAGTGTGCAGCACCAAGTGGGTGCAGACACGTCACCTCCTCGTTGCTATCTACAAGGTAGATGATGCCATGGAAAGCGCACACATGAAATCGCACCCAGTGTCTACGCTGATGGCAATGACCGGGTTGGTGGATGGCTTTGAAGAGCCGGACGGCTATGGTGTCGTAAGCCTTCGAGGAGCAGGAGCTGGAAAAGGCTTCAGCATTGCTCTCAGCAACAGTTGGGGATCCCATGTCGGAAACCTACACGGCGAGATCAGGATTTGTAATTACGCCTCCGGCTCGGACTCGCGTTTGGACTTCGATATTTCCAATGTTGTCCCCAAGACTCCGATCTGCCCAAGCCCGTCGAATGTGAATGAGCAGCTTCAGGATAGTGGCGACAAGCTGTCCGGCTGTTGCCTTAATGTTAAGACTCTGCGCTTAATTTGACAACCCTGGCATGCTGCACCATGCTAAAACTCTTTGCACGTTTTCCATGTGCAGTCTGACCTTAGGCTGAAGTCTGGGATGACCAGCCGCCCTCCCTCGGTTCTTGCCTCCCCATTACCCTCAAGCCCATCACATTTCCACGAACTGCCTGTGGTGCTAAGTGCAAAGTTCCCTCACGCCACATATAAGTTTGGACCAGCTCACGCGAAGCTTTGTGATTGCTGGCACTGCCTCCACACTTTTTGAAAAGTGTACGTTAGCTTGAATGTGTAGTCTGCAAGTTAAATGCTGGCCTGGGCTGAGAAGCCCTCGCTTCGCTAAAGATGACCTACATCACAGGAGCAGGTCTAGAAACCTTACCGGCGAGGTCTGCGTTGCTGAGTAGTCCTCCTTTCGCAAAATCTCCAGTGCTGAAACAGGCTGGCGCAGTGCAATCCAGACCTTGTTTGGGGACTCAGTGCTGCTTGCCCGTAAGTTTGCTATTGTTCTGTTTGCGCCAAAGTTTGCTAATATTCCATTTGAGTAGTTTGCTAATAGTCTGTTTGAGCCATAAACTGCAATGCAAGAGGGGCAGTATCGAAATGCGAAGATGGCAAGTGCACGGCCGCCTGTGTTTGACAGTGTCCTTGGTCACAGAATCAAAGGCAATAGGTCTTCTTGTCGGAGTTCCGGGTGGCTGATGCCAAGCACTAGCTGCCCGTCATGCCTCCTTTCAATCACCGAAAGCTCCGCCTTTGAGGCAAACAGCGAGTGTGCTCATGCCGTGGTGGCTCTACGCAAACCCGAGCGTCGAAACCCTACACCAAGCCACATGCGACCCTAGGCATCAGTTCTGTCCAGGTGGGTTCCGCCCCTTTTGATGAGGTGCCGACGTACATGTCTTTGTGGCCACCAGGGGAAGGGGGGGGGGCGGGCTTACCAGGATGAATCTGCAAGTCTTTGCATCTTGCTGTGTAAGCATGCTCTCCCACTACGGCAGAAGTCAGACTGTTCCAGCACCCATGAGATCTGCAATTCTGCGTCCTTGCAGATTGCTAGGCTGCGGCTGTGCGCCTCCGAGAAGTTATGTTTGCAGCTGTGACGGCTGCTGCCATCAACGTTTCCCGCGCAGGCACAGACTGCGGCAGTTGCACACAGGTCTGCTGCATGTTGGCAAAACATACTGTAGACGAATCGACGGTGCCTTGGAGTGGATGGGTAAAGTTGGTTGGACCAGGTTGCGACCCACCAACTGCACCCGAGCTGCAGCAGGCCCAAAGGGTTTCGGCATGGTTGGATCTCAAGAGGCACCTGCTGCTTCAAAAGGCTCAAAATCCAAGATCGGGTAGGACCGATCGATGTAAGCAAATCTTGTTTGCTTCCGAGGCGATTGGGGGTTGTCTCAAGCAGCTTCCTCTTACATCGCGTGCACGTGTCTACTCGGCCCTAGCAACAGATCCCCTGGCGAAAACCTTGGCTTATCCGAGCAAGCAGCGTGGCTCCTTTCTGCAAGCAACCTCCCACTTCCTTCTAGAGGGCGCGGTCAAGCTCGGGGTTTCACTATCCACCGGCACCCGTTCCGCGGGTGTTTCGCAACCTACCGAGAGGTCAAGAGGAAGTGCCTGCAACTAGCAGTTGAAACTGCCGTCTAGTTAGAGATCCGCCTTGCACGGGGAGTTTATGGTGTTCGTGCTGCGAAGTCTCTTTAACAGTTGTCGTTTTGTGGCCATGGGCCCCTAGTCGAACATTGTGTTTCCTGCTTTCTTCAAACGCGTTTAGCAGTTTTGGTGAGGCTGTTCGGCCCTTTCCGTAGTTAGTCCTTTGCCCAGCCTGCGGGTGAGAGGAACGGGTCTTTGTGTAGGTTGTCTCCGGAGTGTGGGCACATGTCAGGCTTATATTGGTTGGATATGTATTAAGACTCGTCGGTCACATGGGACTGGCCGCTGCCATTGCATTGTAGCAAGTTGATATGGCTTCGACGGTTCGCGTGCAGTTGCCGGTAGGGCTAGGGACTGAAACTTCAGGGAGCCTGAGCAATGAATGATGTTTGGAGCTCCAGTGAACATTGTTGACAGGGGTGGGCTCCATGATCGAGATTTGTCACAGTGGCTTCAAGTGCAGAGTGCGTATGGGATTAGCCGTTCATTGTGCGGCTGCTGCAACATCACACGGCCGGATGCAACAATACAGGGGAGAGACCGCTTCCTGCACAACGGTCATCATAAAACAACACTCGCATTGCAAACTGAGGCAGTTGCTGCAGTGTTGAGAATGCAGCCTGCTGACCCAAACCTAGAATCCTCGACGATTATCTGCAAGCAGCAGTTCCCGGCTGTGCTGGCAGGTGGTAGCAGCTCGAAGATGACGCATGCTGGAGCGCTCTGGCTGTGCGAAAAGCTGATGAAGACGAGAGCTTCGAGCATGGTGCTATCGAACTCTGCAATGGCCTTGCATCCGAGGGCACCGTTGAGCTCAGGCATCTCTGAAGCCCGCAACAGCCGCTGTGCCGGAATTGCATGCTCAGGAAATTTCAGGAACAATAGCAGCGACTGCACATGCACAGCCAACCATCGAAGTGTCAAGATCAACCGTTCTATCGAACGTTAACTCGCCAGCATTGTGGCCCGGCACCTGAGTCCGAGACAAGCCCTAGTATCGGGTGGACACGGTATGTTGTTCATAATCAAGCAGAGTCAGGTTCACGCAACCAGTCGGAAACTGACTGTCATGTAGACACCTCACATCTGCAGCGATGCCTGGGATGATGTCCTGAGCTGCTTTCTCAGCGGTGCGTCAGCATTGAAGCGTGGTGTTGAAACCCGTTTCGCTCTAGACGATGAGTTCGAGTTGCACTGGAAATGAGACTCGAAGTCTCGGGCTTTTCTGTTGATCGCTAACCGGTTGGAATGAAGAGCAGCTCCAAGTCTGAAGCAGTTTTGTCTACTGGAGGTGCTTGGGTTCCTATTCCAGAATACTCTTTGTGAAGCATCCCGGTGGTAGTACCAATAGAATTGTAGGTGAACCGCGGCTTGTGCGTGGCGCTGGCAAGTTAGGCTGATTGAATGAGTACCAGTAACATCTAAGCACTCGGCACATTCATCCCAGGCATTCCAGCAAATTGGAGCCACCATGAAACCTGCAATGCTTCGAGTTGAGGCTGAACCTATCGCTGCATTCGCCACTGCCCAGGTTGGCATCATGAGCCAAGGCCGTGGTGGCGCGCTGCGTCCGGGCTTCCGCAAGGCCCGCAGAGAAACATCTGCGCAATTCGGACCCTTGTGGCCTTTGACGGCTTGGCATCACGGCATGATGCTCGTGTGGAGCAGGTTCTGGCACAAAGACTCTTCGAGCTTGAGCATACGACAAGTCTGCATCTCAGTCGAACGACCATGACTAACAAGCGAAACAAAAACAAGCAGCTTACGGCTTACAGATTGCCTCCAGCAATCAGTTCATGCAGCTTCAGTGATTTAAACGGTCATCACATGCATGCACAACCCCCGCCCATGCGGACCTAAGCAAGACGTGCTGTTTAGTAAGGCTTCGCTCGCTAGGCAGCAGCACGCAGCAGCAGAACGCTTCAGGCTACATGGTATTGTCACGCCACAGCCGCCGTGATCGGCAGGAGATGATGTGACGCAGCTGTGCGCCGGCTTGCATGTGAGGCTTTTGCAGCATGCCACCCAAGAACCGTAAGACTGCCTATGCGAAGCGAAAGCTGCTTGCCACGTTCATCGTGTGCGTGATGCAGTTCGCCATCAGCTTAAAATGGCCAGTTATCTCGACAATGCTAGTGACAGTGCTTGACCGAAGGTCTCCTGCTAGCGTGAGGCTGATGAAACTAGAATGGGGACGCCTGAAGTCTTCGGCCCTCCTCACGAGATCTCACGAGCATGGCTGTAAGCAGAGCCAACAAAAGCCCGAAGAAGTAACTAAGACTTGTACCTTTTCGTACTCATGTATAACTTCACACACAGCAAAGAGTTTTCTAGTCCGCGCATGTTCGTGCCCCTCTTCGGTTTGGAAGTGGGGCGAACAGGTACAATGACCAGGAACGGGCCGCCTTCGAGCGCGGGTATCGGGCTGCCGTGCAAGATGTCCTTGTGCTTGCCGCACCCTTGGAAGCAAATGGAGTCGAGAGGGAAGCAACTGGAGCCTCCGCAAATAAACACAGGTCGGTGCTGGGCTTGCTGGTGCGGCCTTCTTGACCGTGTGCTCGGCTCCTCAGGCAGGTCCAACGGAACCGAAAAAGCGAGTCCGATGTCTCAGGCCTGTCCCCAGCTCTATACCAGAAGGCGCCCATCAGTCGACAGTCTTACTTAGTTGTGCGAGTGCTTTGTGACCCAGGTTCGCGAAAAGGTGCGACCCTGGGTTGTGAGACAGGTGGAGCCATCGACTCTGGGGACTGGGGATTTGCTCTCTTAGCGTTCGGCCATGCTCGTGCCTTGAGGCTGGGACGCCCGTGGGTAATTTGGATTCAAAGATGCAGGCCGAATCTTGTGTGTTGTGCCTTCAGAGGTCCGCAAGGCATCGCAAGGCAAGGCGGCGAAGCTTGCACAGGCATCCGCTGTTGGACCGAGTCCACCTCTTCGCAGCCAACTCCTGCGGGGTGCCGTCACAACTTGTCGAACAGTGCTACACGCTTGATGGTCAGCTGGGTCACCCCGTCAACTTGCGCGGCCAATTTCCACAATTTTCCACATGTCAGCTTTCCCACGGCAGCAATGTAAGACACATGCGGTGTGCCCGAAGCCCATGACTACCCCACCCTAGACGTCCCACTACAGGATGCCAGATATGCCACCGAATTTGCATTGGCGTGCTTAGAAATGCTGTCAGGAGCCCGTATGCCGTTCTCAAGAATCCAGACCTCTTACTTCTGCGCAACTTGCGTCTTTACCAGGGAGAAACAAAGCCTGACTCCTGTGGCTATACACCGCAATGGGCCGCTTACGTACGGTGTTCTGCCGGAGCGGACGAGAAGCTCCTGAGCTAAGGGCAGAAATCTTCAGAGATGGTCGGAACCCAGTTGTCGTTCCTAGCTAGAGCGACTCAGCTGAGAAATCTTCGCTTCACGGCGAAAATCTGACGAACGCCCATCCAACATTGTAAATGTGATGTAATCATTTTCTCCGTCGTATGTCTGGTTTGAAAGCTTCATTCCAGGTTTGCATGCACGTGGACGAGGACACGACAGGTTTCTGTGTGACAGCATTCGGGTTTCGGGGTCTTGAGCGCGCAGGTGCAGCTGTTTCTAGTAGCCGGGGCAATGAAAGTGGCGGCCCACAGCGCATTGGAAGCAGCATCAGAAAGTCTGAGCACCAGGAGAACACAACAGTTCGAGAATTGCGATCACAAGTACTGTCCACCCTTGGACGAGTTGAGGCCGAAGCTAGCGACAGCTCTTTCTTCACTTCAGCTCGTCATGCCTCGCGTCGTGTGAGGCCAACGCAAAGCAAGCTGTTTCAGGACCGAGGGGGTCAAAGGCTTCTTGGAAAGAATGCGCAGATGCTTATTATTTCGCCTCCCCTCCTTCCTGATCAGTACTTACTCACCCTTTCCAATCCAACCTCAGTTTGGGGCTTGGCTTAGCATTGCAGGAATGGCTGGCATGATGTGCCTGGTCAGCAACGAGCACGTAGCGGACCTCCTGGGCCTGACGGCAGATGTGTTGGCACCGACCTAAGCTTCTTTTCAGGCTGTCAGATTGTCAGATATGGGAGTTTCCGAAAATGAGTACCTTATTTTGGGGGTCCTTATAATAAGGATCCTACTATTTAGGGTACTATACTAGGGTCCCCTATTTTCGGAAACCCCCATATACCATGCCGCAGCATTGGGTCTTAGCTTTGATATCGTGGTGAGACCGTGTTACGTGAAGGCGTCGGTTCGCTTTCGCAAAAGGATGGCGAGGAGATAGAGCCAGCAGAGCCAGCAGTGTTGTCACCCGACGAAGCCCACAGAGGTTCACCAACAAACCATAGTTGCTTCGATGCTTTCTGCCATCCTGCAGTTTTTGGCCCAAGGGGTGAGACGAACATGTAGAGTTTCAGGGTTATCGAAGTATCTCAGACATTGTCACGTGCTTTCGTTTCACTATATGGCTAACTAACAGTACTAGAGTCAGTCTGGAAGTAACATCAGACATCGTCAGATACTACGCCCCCCTCTGCGGAGCCAAGCAGTGCAACGGAGCGCAAGAGCACAGGAGTTGGCCTGGAAGGCGCCGGAAACGGCCCGGGTCCAAAGATGCTTGTCCGCAGCCAGACCAAACTCTTCGGGGGACCCACAGCTGAGCTGTGAAAATGGCACGACCTCCTGCCGGACCCCTCAAACATGAACCGAAAACTCGAAAACAGGAAGCCGATTGAGTGGTTGGGGGGTAGGGGGGCGTGGGGGAGGGCAATACCATCATAACATGGTCCCATGGAACCTTAGCAAGACGTCCTGGCAGATTGGAGAAACTGGAGGACCCACCAGAGACCTGCTCGCAGGGTCATGGACGTTGACCAGCTGCTTCCTGTGGCACCTCCTCGACACAGCGCCATACTTACTTCCGAGAGAAGCAGAGAATCACACGGAGTTTGGGCAATGCGTGGCCTTGAGACACAGCCCAGGTCAACAAGCCAGAGATGCTGCACTCGGAAAAGGTGGATATGCAAGCAAGGGCAAGGGCAAGAGCCTCCTGCGTGCTGGCAGCGACTGCACTCTGGCGGCTCTGCAGCACAGCAACAGTTCTACAGCAAATAACATCGGATGATACTCGCGAAATTTCTGCCATGCTTGGGTCACAGCATCAAGACACCTTGCAGACAGCGGCTTTGTCTCACAGGTCCGACAGTGGACACCGTTGTTGATGGAAGACAAGCAGCCGCTTGCAGCTGTGCAGGAGGGTGAGGCCGGCAGATTCCAGTGTGTACATGCGTTGGCGTTCATCTCCTCAAAAGGGTTTGAACCCAGCTCTTCTCTTCGCCCATCCATGGCGGGATGGGGCCGAAATGGCGAAAAGTGTGGGTACACATCACTACAAGTTTGCATGTGTAAGAGAGAGGTGATTATAGACAGAGAGAATGAGAGACGTGTATAATGAACGATTAAACCTGGACGAGGAGTGCGCGCATGCACGCCAGGACGCATGAACACGCACATACATACATACAGACATATACATATATATATATATATATATATGTATATATATATATATTTGTATTGGGGCCGGCGCAAGTCATCTAACAGAGTACCTTCTTTACCGGCAGAATGCTATGGTATACCGGGTGTGTTTGGCGGTATGCAGGCTCTTGTTTCCACAATCATTTGGTCGTACCCAAGGAGATTTGCCACATGCATCTTCGCTTCGAAACCAAAGCTTTTCCACACCACTCTCTTGTTGGCAACGCAGAGATTTTCGGCAAGTTTCGGGCTTGAACATAAGCACGTTTTCCAAGTGACAAGTGATGAGCTGAAAAGAAGTGGTGTTTCCACAGTTTTTGGGCTGACGAGAAGCACTATTTCCACATGTTCAGGCTCCGGTCTGACCATGCAGCAAGCCGTGTTGCAGGCCATGTTCCGCCGGCAGTAATCCTGAGGACGGAGCAAAGATTGGATGACAAAGGGTTTGTGACATGTGAAGAAATATAAGTATAAGATTTCCTTCGACCAGAAATCAAGCCAATATTCGTGAGAAGAAGGTTCGTGGAAGCCAAAGCTGGGCTTGCGGACACAACCGCAGACATGCTTTCCGGTAATGCTGCTGGACTTGGACAAATCCGCCGTGCACATGTTTTAGGACTGTAGGCTTGTAGGACTGTCCTACACTGTGGCACTGTAGGACGGACCTGCAGGACAAGCAACGACATTTGCAGTGGAAGCGTTTGTAGAGACACAGTTGTGGACATGCACCGTTGTTTGGCAGACAATCGCACGAAAACTGTTATGGGCAATGTGCAGGGTTTGTGGACAAACCTGCGGACAATGGCGTGGAAAAACACAGGTGTGGGCGGACGCATCTGCAGACTTCTTTGGAAATCTAGCTGTGGACAAACGGTGTTGTGGCATAACAGCGGCGTGTGCGGACAATGTTATGGAATAACCAAGGTGTTTGCTTCGATTTCTGCGGAAACTGTTGTGGAAGTATCTCGTGCGAGAATTATCTTTGTCAGGCAAAGATGTGGACACATGCGTTTTTGCAAAGAAACGAGCCAAATCAGCATCGAATTGCGCCACACGGCTGTGCTTCCACAACAGTGTCCGCAAATGTTTCCGCAACACAGGTTGTTGTTCCACAGTTTCAGCAAGTGTTTCCGCAACACCGGTTGTTTTCCCGCAAGAATTCCGGCAAATATTTCCACAATGCCGGCTGTTTTTTCGCAGCAGTTTCCTCAGCACCAGTTGTTTTTCCACAACAGCTGCCGCACGTGCTTGGGCAACACATGCTGACTGTCCACAACAGTTTCCGCAAACGTTTCCACAACACAAGTTGTTACTACACTGCTTTTACCACAACATGTCCGAAGAGTTGTCCGCGGACTGTTTGCCGCATGCCTTTTCCACCCACAAAGCTGTCTGCAAACTTGCCCGCACAATTTTTCCACAAGCATTTTTCCACAAACGTTTTTCCACATGTTTTTCCACACATGTTTCTCCACAAACGTTTTTATCCACAAATGTTTTTTCCACAAACATGTTTCCACAACATTTTATCCACACACTTTTCTCCAAAATCATTCCACAAACTTTGTTCCACAGCTTTTGCCTCAAGTTTGCTCCATAGTGGAATGCTTCTTCGGAAACGGGCTGTAAATTTCGCAATCTACTTGTTTGAAGCGCGCGTGCAGAAAAACATATTCTTTTAAGCCCAAAACTTGTGAAACAAACGTGTCCTTTCAGCCCAAGACTTGTGGAAAATGTGCTTCTTGTCAGCCCGAATCATGTGAAACACTGGCCTTCTTCAGCCCGAAGCTTGTGGAAAACCGCTGTTTTCGCAGTCGGAATCATGTGGCAAACATGCCTTTGGTCAGCCCAAAACTTGTGGAAACATGGCTCTTTGTTGAAACAACCTTTGTGGAAGACATCTTGTTGTTGACAAGAAGTACGGGTGCTTATAGAGGTATTAACCCAATAGCCGCAAAGAATAGATGATAAATGCCGGCCCCAAGAGAGAGAGCGAGAGAGCCTGGTAGATATGTATGTATGTATGTATGTATGTATAAGTATAAGTATAAGTACAATGTGCATAAATATATGTATCTACAAAGGCATACACACATATATATGTATAAAAACATGTACAGACGTATGTTAAACATGTAATTAGAATCTACTTATTTACTTACTTGATACTTTTGGCACATGAACAGTTCGATAGATAGACAGATAGATAAGACAGACAAGATAGACAAGATAGATAGACAGAAGGATAGAAATACATGCATATCATTTTAAACAAAAACAGCATGTCTTATTAACTTTGCTACTTGTAGGTGCGATCTCGTAGGTGATCCTCTCTTGCCTCCCTTTTCGCTCCCTCTCTCTCTCTCTCGCTCTCTCGCCGTCGTGTTCATGTATGGGAAGAACCAACATGTCGAGTACGTGTATGGCCGCACAGCTACATTACACCTGCAGCACCGGCACATGCATGCAGACTTGTCCACTGCACTGCATTGCAGAAGCTTGCGCCGGCGGACTAGTGCATAATTAGCTGGAGATTCTGTTTCAATGAGCGAAGGGATCTCCTTTTGCCGAGTCGTCATGCGGGACATCCACGCATGTGAGAAGAAGAACTCCAGCAATCCTGCGGATCTGAGCGAAACTGTTTGCATGCGATCTCTGGTTTTGCTGCGGCGAGCATTGGTGACTTGCACTGTATCCTTGATCTGCCGACAGGTTTCCGAAAATTTCGGGGGAGACGGTGAACATCCTCCTCATTCGGATGAGCCAGGCCCTGGAAAAGTGAAAAACAGTGGGACGGTGAACACACCAGCACAGCAGGTGCAGAAAAGAAGGCCCGTCATGCATACTTGCAAGCACACACCTCCTTGCGTGCGCCAGCCCATATAACTCGAACAGTCAAAGAGATGCCGCTGGTGGGCGCAGTGCATGTTTCTGGAATCCTAACCTGGGAAACTTGGGAAAGCAGGCCAGATACAGGTGTGTTCGGGTAGAGGATGGTAGAGGCCGAGGCATAGATGAAGATGTTCAGGGCAGCTCACAGCTTTGTTCGCACTGTCAGTTGCATGGGCATTTTCGATATATGAAGCATCGATGTCACGCTGGTCCTTTTGACAATGACTGTGTTAACGTTCGCGGCAGGCTTTCGAAACATTTTGCGTCGAGCATCTGCCCCTGCGATTTTGGTAAGCTCGGGTCAGACAGCTGCACCTTCGAATCCTGTCACGACTAGCACTCTTCAAGCATGTTCCTCCTTGCATGACCTTGGCTTGGGATTGCAGCTGAGGAACAGCAGTCGCACCAAGAAGAGCGTAGCCTTCGGCCTGCGATACAGTATTGTCATCGGTAACGAAACCTTTTCCGAGGGTCGTCGCCTTTCTGACGTGGAGGCCCAGAAGAAGGCAGATGCTATCCAGCATTGGTGGGCTGAGAGGCAACGCCTGGGATACGACGCTTACAACGGGGATGAGTCTCCGAGCCCCAGCCCGGAGCTCCCAGTTCGGCGACCTCGGTCCACGTCCCTCGCGGAGATGCGCGGCGAGGGCGGCGAGGGCGGCGATGCCGACGGCCTCGAAGTGTTTAGCGATCTCCCATCCGGGAGGCGGCGCTCCAGGGCCAACTTCTCAGCCGCAGACATTTGCGAGGAGAGGGCAGGGTGTTTTTGGAGGAAGGGCCCGAGATCCCACTGGCAAAGCTGTACATGCTTGCTTTCAGGACTCGGCATCTTCCTTTCCTCCGGAAGGCATTCTTCTGCTGGCCTGATTCGTCCGCTTCATTTTGACATCCCCTTGTTGCTTGTTTCGTCTGCACAGGCGATTTCCAGATGGACGGGATCAGCAGAAATGATGCTCCCAACCTTCTCCAAGACTTCAACTTGCAAGTCATGCCCAAGCCGAAGCCGGTTGTGCAGAGCGTGGAGGAGTTTCTGGCCGCGGACCCGCCTGTGAGCTTGTCGGATTTTTTAGCACCAGGCTCGTGGTTCGAAACTAGGTATATGCCATTCGTTGAAAAGTGCTCTGCATGTTCAGCAAGGCCCCAGCTTTGCATAGCCCACACAAGACGGGTGACACAAAAGGCCCAAGTCCGGATGTGGCGTAGGATGGCACAGGCCGAAGATAGAGAGACTTCGTAGGACTCGTGGGGGCCTTCCATGGCCCCCATGGATGTTCCCTGGCAGATGATGAAAGACCTGATCAAGCAGACAAGCGACGCTGCTGGACGGCAGATGTGTCGTGACGGAGGCCCTCGACAGAGCAGTCGCGTGACGTGTGCAGCCAGGATGGTGCTCAGCAAGTGTTTTTCTTCTTTGTGGGTCCTTGCAAATACGGTGAAACGATTAAGCCCGGTAACGAACGACAGCGACACGTGGCTGCCTCGCCGGCATAAGCTACCGCAGCTCTTCGCTTGGGGTTATCTGAGCAAATCATCCATCTCTGCGTCGTGTTACCTGCGACGTGCAACAAGAAAACATTGAACACATGACCTGAGGAATGCGACGGAAAGGCTAGACAGTCGAACTTTCGGGAAATGAGGGTTCGGTTCAAGAAGGCGGGACTGGACAGGGGAGGGCAGGAGCGGCCGGTCTAGGTTCAGCATCCCCATGTTTTCTCACCATTCCAAGAAAGTTCTGGGCATCGCATGCAGCATACTTTAGAAGCTTCTTTCAGCCGGAAATCACACAACGCTACTTCACCGGGTGTGAAGTTCTGCGTGGTATTTCCATGTATTTGTCGAGGGTTGCTACATTCGTTGATTGATTGGTCTACCGTTCCAGAGGTACGTGCGGGCTCTTCTAGATTCAGTAATTGAAGCAAACCCATACAGCCGCCTTGCTGCGCCTTGGGATGCTGAGGAAATGCTCAAAAAGTCCTTGGCCCGGGAAAAAAAGCCGGCGGGAGACCTTCGGGATCGGGAAGTAGAAAGCATTGCATTTTCATAAGTTGTGGTTCAAGGACAGGCATGCTTGCAAAGCAACGTGGCCCTGTTATTTTGCAGAATTAGTTGCGAAGCAACTGACCAATTTAGCTCAAAGCTGCTCCAGGTCTAAGATTTGTCGTTGCTTTGTGCTACGTGGGCACAGGATGTCACAGGAAGCAGTTCCACGTGCACGGCGATGTTTTTGAGCGCACTTGCGTCGCCCATCGGAGAACAAAGGAATTGCATTGCAACTGCGCCTGCTTTGTTGCCAGCACGGAAGAAAGCATTTTTCTGGCTTACAAGTCATGGGTCGCCCGAGGTTCCGCCTTCTGGTTTCCGCGATTCGTCGCTCCTGCAGCCCTGGTCGTTTGACTCGATCGTTGTGCGGCTGGGTCGGCCTACCACGCTTATTCGACTGCATGCTCAGTGACAGCATTGCAAACCCTCCTAAAGCAGCTGGCTAGAAGATATCCTATTGTCCGTATTTATGACATGAAACATTGAAGAAAGGAATTCAGCCTTGATCGCAAGCTACAGCCAGCTGTTGGAAAATGCGCAGTTCGCATGCTGCACGAAGGAAGTCTCAAAGCAAGTGACGAAGACTCCGTGGCGGCCTCAGTCGGACTCCAGAGCCGGATGCCCCAAATCCGAAATCCGTTGCTTGAGGCTCATTCTGATTGCGTCAGATCGTCCCATACTGAGGGTTTCAGAGCGCCATCGTGCTTCGACGTCCTTTCTTCTATAGCTCTCCCGACATTGCGTGTTCGCCACGTGAATGCAGGTTGTAGCATGAGCTGCTGGCACAGAATCTGCGAGGCATCGCTTACAGCCAATGAACTTTTGGGGGGTGGCCTGCACCTAAGATTCTGACCCATGCCGGGTCGATTAATCACGATTGCTGGAGCACTGCGCGGCCGCTGCCTAACCAAGGAAGCCATTTCCGTGTTGGAAACGCGATACGGGCAAGGCTACATAGTTTTCGGATTTGATTGAAGCAGTCGCCTTGGCAATGGCTCTCTTAAAACCTACCCGAGCAGTGGGGCCAATGCACACTTTGCAATCCCGAACCATGGCAACGAATGCCGACAGTATGTACAGTTGCCGTCCATTCCTCGAAAGAGGAAGCTGGCATTCATTGTGGACGGCTGCCACAAGTCCTGGTGAGTCTGTACATGATGCCTGGCTACTTGTACCATTTTCCCTGCCGGCTGACGGAGCACCGGCAGAGGCAACGAGGGCCTCCCAGGCACCCAAGGTGTCACGCGATGAGGCGCAGCAGAGGTCACTAGGGCGCAGGCAGACAAGGACCTTCTGAAAGCACAGCTCGGGACGCAAGAAATGACGTGCGGCTTTGTACTCGTAAGCGGCCGTGGCGGTTTTTCGATCCATGCTATTTTCATACTGCCCACGTTCTTTCAGTTTGCCCAGCCAGTCCTCACAAGAATGCCAGATCCTCTTCTACATCACTGCCTTGCCGTTTTTGTTTTGGGCCGGCATCTGAGATGTGCGTGTGTGGCAGAACTCACCACCCAGTCAAGTTTATTTTGTCCAGGGTCTACGGCCGTTGATGTTTAGCTGGTGTTCTCGGATGGAACACTAAGGCTGGCGAGCTGCAGCGTGATCCCTATGCCCTATGTTGTTCGCTCGATGCGACTGAAGCTGGCCACGTTGCCATAAGGCTGGCGCGACAGCTTACATCGTGCACGACACAGTGAGGGACGAACTTCATGCATGCAACGTCGCCAGTTGTCGACCGGCATCGGAATTGCTGAATGATGGATCTTTCTCGAGGTTCATGGCCACCTGCATCTATGCTCCAAGCTGAGATGCTGGAGGCATCACAGGACTCAAACTGCTGCAGCCTGAGCGGCGGAGGTGGGAAATGCGGTGAAGGACGCCATCAGCGCCCCGAGGCGGGCGCTGTGAGCGGTGGCCAAGTGTGAGAGGTCGCTACTCGCGCGCTGTTCGAGGCCCGACTGGAAGAAAGGGGTTCGTCTCGTCAGCCCACGCCCCCAGAAAGCGACTGCGTGGCGAGGAAAGGAGAGAGAGCGGTGGGGGAAGGAGCGCGTCGTCTTTGCAGTTAAGGTGACGGCGCCAGTGATGGGTCGCCCGTCTCCCAGAAAAAATCTCACCTCTGCCTCGTTTGCTCCTTTGCCAGCAGGTGTACGGATGACATGGAATACGGTTTACCCAGCCTGCCTCCCAGAATCATTGATCGAGTGAGGGTCGGCAGTCAGTACTCACGCAAGCAGCTTCTCAAGCTTCGAGGTACTCATACGATCAATACGGTCTGTATGTCCCTGACACAGCAGCATCCAGCAGCATGCCTGATACCGCCTCACGGTTGCACCCTTGAGGTGGCTGTATATTTTCTACTTCTACGCAAGCTCTACAAGCAGGGGCCCCGTTTCCCTCTGGCCGTTGGGCGCAGGGCAATTGCTCAAATCTTTGGCACAGGCTACGGGGATGGCATCTCAGTGTATTGGAACACCTGGAGGCCACAAAAGTCACAAAAGACTCAGACAGCTCCTGCTTAGCCCAGCATGAGGTCTCCGGCCTTGCAGATGAGACTTGCTTCCACAGTTGGGATAGCGGCGCTGTGCGAGCATAAACGAGACGAATAACCCAAGTGCGAGCTGTTGTTGTGACTGAGGATGTTTTGTGTCATCCTGATCTGGTGCACCTTCATAATGCTAGCAGCTGAGCACGAAGCGTGGCCAGTGCGAATGGGCAGAATAACACGGAGCGGCTGATATGGACAGCGGCGGGGGGGGGGGGGCAGGGCGGCCCAATAAATGACCACGAGGTATGGTCGGCTGTACCTTGGAATGCATTCGCCAATCGATGTGGCCCGGTGCTGACGCGTTCTGCTGAGGCTTGCGGTTTCTGTTTGTGTTTGCATCGGTTTGAATTGAGGCCGTCGGATTTGGCATTTCCATGGTCTTGCACGTGCCTTGGCAGAGACATCCGGGTCCTGTGTGTGGAATTGCACCGCGTGAGGCTTCATGTCTATGCTGCGGTTCAGTCCTGAATGTGTCTCTGCCCGTTGAAGATTCAGATCGGTCTAGCAGTTTAGCATTTCTCACCAAGGTGGATGATTTCATCGATGCATGGATGACGGCGACAACCGCGTTTGCTGCGGCCTGGAAATATGCTGGAAACTCCCAGGGTGTGTGGGTGTGCTTGGCTGAAGCGATTTCACCAGGTCCCAGCATATCAACTGGCTTTTGCAGTGGTCCTCTGCAGGGCACTTAGCCAACAATCTTCTTCAACTGAAAGTGTCACCGGTGACATGCGTGGAATGTGCGGTTGAACTCTCGCCGGTCCTAAAGGCTGGACATATCCACAAGGCTTGCAGTTGAGATCCCAGAGGACTTGCATCTCGGTGTGCTGCAACGAATGTGTTTGGACAAAGGCGGACTCCTTCGTACAACTACGCCGTTTACTTCACAGGTGTTTGTGCGCTCCCGAGGTGAGAGCAACAGCAAGCGAATCGTGTGTGAATCAGAATGGTTTGTGCAGCTGAGGCTTGGGAGTTGTCACCGGCGTGTGCGGGGCCTAACAATTGCTGCAAGTACCTGTCCAATTTGCCAACTGCTGACGCATCGTTTGTAAGTTGTCATTCGGGTCTGGCGGTACTTGTTGTTTGTTTTCTGTGTGATTCGTCCTCATGTTAGAGACAGCGCTCATTTATGATTCCTTCTTGCTTAGCTGTGACATTTGTTGTGCTCCTCCTCAAGAAGGGCCACAAAAAGATTGCGCGGTTAGGACTTCCTGCCCTGACCTGTCACACTTGTGATGTTTATCTTGCCTTCCGGCTCCTTTCGAGATTCAGGGGTCTGGCCCGAATGTTCGCCTGACGTTCCACGGGTGGCCCAAACCTCTTATGGTTGGCATCGGTCGGCCACTCCTTGCCATTCGTCCTGGCCACCCCCTTCCAGGGATCACGAGTCCAAGGTTGGGCCTGCTTTCAGTCTTGGCCTTTACTTAAAACTTCACGGCTGGACCTGCTCTCCCTTTAGCCGATGTTCGTTAGGCTTCGCGGGAGGCCCACTCGTGTAAGGGCCGCCCACTCCTTTCTGGTTTCACGGATGTTTTTTCGGGTTGGCAATTATATTCCATGTTTCAGTCTTGCCACACTTTTTGGAGGTGCAGGGGTGCAGGGTTGGCCGTTCCGTTTCGGTCTCATGGCTGGCCCACTGCTCTTAATCGCGGCTCACTCCTTGTAGGCCTGGGGTGTGGCGTGTCGCATGGCTCACTTTGCAGGTGGCGCTGCCCGCATCATCATAGCGCGCTAGTCCCGGCCGTGTCGCGGTCACTCCGCCGAGCCTTGGTTGGAGGCGTTTGTGAGCTTGCAATACGAAGGTCGCAGCAGCAGATGCTATCAAAGCAGCCAGGAACTTGCACAAAGAGCACGAGCTTTAGTAGACGTGCCGGCGTGGTAGAGCTGAGGTGCGAGGCCCGCTGGCTAGCACTGGCTTCATGATCTTCGTAGGACGGCCCAAGATGTCCGCCCTCTTGCGCCTCGAAAAACCCGATCTGATTGCAGGACGCAGATTCTTGGTGGGACTGGTAATGGTGCTGGTTTTGCGGGCAGCAAGCAAAGAGATGTTGAAGTGTGGGCCTCGGCTGACAGTTCACTGGCTGAGTAAGCCTCGAACGCTTACCAGGCTGCTGGTACCGCGTGTTTTCCAGATCCTCGGGATACCTTGCTCGGATCACGAGTGGCACTGCCACCACTTCGGTAAAAGAGAGAAGTGCAAGTTGGGGGCTGCAGCGGCTGTCGGTATGCTCCGCGCCAGGGCCAAGCAAAAGGAAGAAAAGGACCCCGTGGGCTACAACGCAAGAGGCTTGGTTTGGCCGAGCGTCTGACGCTGTCGGCAACGGGCAGGCCGACTTAGCAACCGAACTACTTCCGGTGACGTGCTGGCTGGAACCAGGTTCTCACACCAACGCGACTTTTGAACTATGCCGTGGTGGGTTGGACAGTTGCCGGGCTCCGAACTGGGTGTGTGTGCAGCAGCGCTTTTCAGAGCTGCAAACCAATGACATCTTCGGGATGAAGAGGACGCAGTTCAGTGTCAACCTGCAACCTCAGGTGGAACCATGCTTTGACCTGTTCGAGTGGCTCAGAATATGAGTGCTTGAATGTTGTGGTTGAGCGGCTTAGACCCAAGATAGGTTTCAAGCTCGTTTGAGCGTGAACTGCGTGCACCAGAGCGTCTTTCCAGATGAATAAAACTGATTCCATTGGCGCTGGTTTTGGCAGTGGTTCTTCGGGCTGCATCTCAGTGTCTTGGTGTTTTGGTGATCTCTTAGTGACCATGTTATGATGTCAGACCCTTGCATTGCGAACAAAGCCACTTTATCAAGAAGGAAACGAAGCCTATGACATGCTTTGAACCTGAGTAATGAACTGCAACTCCTTACTCAGCTTACGCAAACTCTCGACAAAGTTGCTTTGGACGACGACGTGGCGAGAAGCAGCAAGCAAATAATAAATACAAAAACAAAGCACCATCCTGAAAGCATGTGCCAAGATTAGGCTACTTCATTGACGCACAGACATGGCGAACACCGTACTCGCTTGCCGATGGCCTGGTGCTGACTTAAGCGCAGGCCGCTAGAGACCGAAGACGGAGGAGTTGATGGCTCTCCGCTGCACTGCAGGAGCGGCAATGTGTCCGTTGGCTGACAGCCACTGCCAAGCTGCGGAGGCAGCTCAAAGTCGCGAGTCCATCGATGGTTGAACCACTAGGCCACTAGGCCTGATGAACGCATCCATGCGATCGACACAGAGTGGACCAAGTAGGGCAGCGCAGTCGCACAAAATCGCGAGGCACCACTGTTTTCCCTGCCAGGTTAAAACACGTTGGAACACACAAAAACACACTGTAAACAGCAAGCGAACTGTTCGCCCCGCCAGCATCCGCCGGCCTGCAGCCATAGAAGTTGGCATACTTTCTGAACGTGAGAAATGGACTTCGACAGCAGCAAGTCGTGATTTGAACTGTCAGGGCGTGCTTCCATCAATCGTCCGCTCCTCAGACATGGGACAAGCGGAGTGATGAGAGAGTTGTTCCACATGCAGGGAGGTGTAGGTGTGTGTGCGTGTGTGTATTGGGGGGGGGGG